CCTGTCTTAGGCCAGCGTGCGACTCCTGTCACCAACAGAATGCCCCAAGTGACACAGGAGCCCCAGAGGAGCCTGGTGAGGGCTGCGCAAAGGCAGGCCCAGCTGCAAACACCCTGGCCTTCTGTGCAGGTCATGCCATCTGAGCCACTTGCCTGGCTGCACAAACTCACAACAGCTACGTGAGGGAGCCAGGCCAGACCATTATGTGAGAAGTGGAAAATGGCCATCATTTATGCATGCAAGCACAGAGGCTGTCCTGCAGTCCCCTGAGCAAAGCACCCAGCAGTTCCTCCAGGGACAACCAGAGCTCTGCTCCCCCTCCAGGGTCCGGTGCCTGAGGTATGCCCTTTAAAGCACTCTTACATGGTACGAGTGATTCAATATGCATGTTTTAATTTTTTACATTTAAAAGGACTGTTTTTGTAATCCCATAGTAAGCCAAGGCTGAAGTGTAGGACTGATCTCTCCAGGGCCTTGGAGGCCAGGAGGCCCCCTTCCTGCAGGCTGCTGGCTCCACCTGTTGGAGACACAGCAGAAATGACCGAGGTTCCCTCCGCCCATGCCCCAGGGCCCACAGCCCTTGTGCCTGGACCTGGCACACAGGGCCACCACGCAGCCTGCAGCTTCTCTTCTGCAGGCCTTCAGAGAACGAGGGCAGCCCCGCAAGGGCCCTGGAGTCAGGTACTGAGGAACAATCCCCTAGGTACCTGCTGCCCACTTTGCTCTCACTACCCGTGGGAGCTGCTGGCAGGGAGGCCTTGTACAAGCACAAGTACAGATGAGGTGCAAAGGGGCCAGTGGCCTGAGGTTACCCCAGAGCTCTCCCGGTGCTAATACATGGAAGCCATTCCCATAATTGCTCATCTAAAAGGGTTTTCAGTCTCACACCCTGACTGGCCTGCATAGTGTAACAAATCACACGCTTACTGGCATTTGTCTCATTGTCCCTGAGGGTCGGGTCTTGGTGGGGCTGTGGAGTCCCTGGGTCAGAGCCTCCAGACTGTGAGCTCCTGTGAGGCTCACCTTGGGCAGGGGAGATCCGCTCCTGACCCCCTCAGGCTCTGCCAAAATTCACCTGCAGACATGAGCCTCCCTCTCACCCTGTCTGGTGTGCCCACACTTGGCAGCCCAGTTGCGGAGGGCACCCCCGCACTGACCACTCTGGGAGCAGGTATCATGGGGCACGCATACCTGGGCAGCCATGCATGTGAGAGATTATCTGATCTGTGATGGAACAAGCTGATTGGGGCCAGCAGAGAGAAGTGGCCCCAGGTGATGGCCAAGACTTAGTCCACCATAGAGGTGGTTCCTCAAGAAACTGCTGTCCTGGGCCCGGCGACATGGCCTAGCAGCTAAAGTCCTCCCTTGAACGTGCTGGGGTCCCATATGGGCACCGGTTCTAACCCCAGCAGCTCCACTTCCCATCCAGCTCCCTGCTTGTGGCCTGGGAAGCTGTCGAGGACGGTCCAAAGCCTTGGGACACTGCACCCATGTGGAAAACCTGGAGGAAGTTCCTGGCTCCTGGCTCCTGGCTCCTGGCTCCAGATCAGCACAGCACCGGCCATTGCGTTCACTTGGCGAGTGAATCACTGGACGGAAGATCTTCCTCGCTGTCTCTCCTCCTCTCTGTATAACTGACTTTGTAATAAAAATTAAAAATCTTAAAAATAAATAAATGGCTGTCCCATAGGCAGCCCCACAGTAGACACTGCCTGGCCACTCCTGCTGCCTCAATACTAACCTCAAAGTCTTAGCATTGGCTCATCTCATCATTGCTCTCAAATGGAGCAGGCAGGATCAACAAAGATTACTGCCAGTGACTCTGCTAATTTCTGCAAAGGAGACCTTCCAAGATGCCCTTGAAGCAATGCCTGAGGAGTCTCTGGTGTAAAGATGAGTGTGTGAGAGACAGGAGTCTCTGGTGTGAAGGTAAGTGTGAGTGTGTGAGAGATGGGAGTGTCTGGTGTAGAGGTGAGAGTGAGTGTGTGAAAGTGGCTGCCGCTATGCCGCCGCTTGGGAGGGTGAATTATTCCAGAGATAATTGCTCTGCTGAAATTAATTGACTCCTCCAAGACTGGCTCTGGCGGGGGGGGGGGCGAGGGGGTGTCTTTGAGGTCATTGTTAATTGGAACCCAGTGGAGCATCCGTGGTGGCCCTGGGCTGATCCCTGCCTAACGAGCTTCCAGAGGGTCCCTAGCAGCCACTGTATCTTCCTCAGCATCCTGCCTTCTTGTTAGCAGCACCCCAGAGAAGGCCACCCTAGGGAAGGCTGCCCCAGGTCTCCTGGCTCCCCAAACTTCCCCCTCCAAAAGTTAACATAGTTGATTGGGCACCAGGAGGTTTGGACTCATCCCCAGAGTCTCAGAGACCACAAAAGTATTCCTCACTGAGCCCCGGGCCCCCTGGGAGCTGCATGCCAAGCACCAGGACAGGCAAGGTAGGGCAAGGGACTGGGGTGTGCACCCCCAGGGCTGCTGTGAGTGCAGGGCAGGGCCCAGGAACAGCAAAGGAGAGAGGAAATAGGGATCCCACTCCTGAGCTCCTTGCAGGGCAGACCAGAGAGGCCGTGGGCTGAACAGCAGGGAGGCACAGGAAGTGGGCCCAGAGATAGCGGCAGGAACCTGTGTCCAACAGGAAGCAGGTGACCTGCAGCGGGGGTTACTGCAACAACTGCCCCGATCTGGGTGACATGTCTTGATGTCCACTGCAAACTGCTGCCTCCCACAGAGATGACCATGTTCAGGGGACACATGTGTCAGTTTGCACACCAGGGACAGATAAACCCGTAACACCCCACACACAGACGTAGCCACCCACAGAGATGCCTAGTATGAGTGGGCCACAGGCAGGACATGGCTTATCCGTGAAAGACAAACTGGGCAGAGCCGCAAGCGTGGCCAGCATAGTGGGAATGTGCTCCATGTGGAAGAGATCTCCCCACTGCCTGTGCAAACCAAATATGCAAGTAGGATGGATTCCTAGCCTGCACCCTTTCCCCAGCTAGGCAAAGTGCACCCTGGGAACCGAACATGTCCACCCCACAGTTAGTTAGACTAGCAGGGGTTGCAGCTCCCCTGGACAGTGACTGCCAGGTCACACCATGTTCCTTCGGCAGGCAGACTGGCAAGTGGAGGAATCAAGGCTACAAGGGAGCCATATCCAGCCTCAGATGAGCACCCCACCCCACCTGGATTGTCCTGGGGACAATCCTCTGTGTCCCTGCTGTCACAGCTGTGAGATAGCAGGAAGGGTCTGCAGGAGGTCCACAAGGCCTCCTTCAGCTTCCCACCCCAGCTGGGCAAATCGAAGCCCTGCCTACACAGACCCCTGCCCCCTGATCCTACAGCACCAGGTTGAGAGGAGCCTCATGTAGAGTTCAAACAGGGAACCCTCCAGGCTGTCCAGAGTAAACCCAGGGAGAGACAGGCCCACACCTGCTGGACAGGAAGTGCAGCCACCTGGAGATGCTTTCCACACAGACGCAAAGGCTGGGAACTGGGCAGAGGCCCTGTTCCCCCAGGGTCCCTGGAAGCTGCTACAATAGGGGAAAAGGCCTGCACCCAGGGAGAGGCCCAGGACCTCATCACCTGAAAGAGCACCTCCCTACTCAGGGGGTTCCCAGGAAAGACCACCGCATGTCAGCACTGCCCATTGCCCTCTGTCTCCTGGCTTGGATCCCAGCTCCACCTTGGACCCCACTACCCTCCCATGCCCACCCGGAAGCCTCAACGGTGCCCCCAGCACTTGGTTGGAGGAGGGATGCAGGCTCCAGGTTTAGCCTGATACAGCCCTCACTGTGGCAGCCACCTGGAGAGTGACCCTGTGAGTGGCTATCATCCACACTACCGCGAGGTTTCCTAGACAGAAAGGAGCTTCTGGAAGCCACAAGGGATGGCCTAGCACACAAGAAGGAGACTCAGAGCAGAGAATTCCACCTCTGCAGACCCCGTAGGGGAAGGAGGCAGAGGAATCAGGGCCTCTCAGGAATCCTGAGCCCCTTCCACAGGGGCCATGAGTCTCTGCAGAGTGCTGGAGCTTGGGCACAATGGGCCCTCGAGGTCCTACGTTTGGGGAGTAGACTTGGCTGGAAGCCACTGAGGAAAGAGCAGGTGCAGAGTTCCTGAGAGACCCTGAAGCTGCCCCAGAGCTTGGAGCCCATGGGTGCAAAGGGTTGTACCGAGGGGGAGGCAGAGCCTGGGACTGAGGAAGCAAAACCTCCTGGTGTGCCTGACAAGTCTTCAGACTGCCAGAACCCAGCTCTACCCAGGGCGACAGGTGGGGACCACTCCCCACCATCTATAACCCTGGGGGTTGTACCCTAGCAGAAGGCTCAACCTCCTCTCCCTTTCTTTCTGTCCTTCCTGGCCACAGAGAGCACCATGAAGGAACCCAGGAGTCTTATGTCATTGCCCTAAGATCACTAACAACACAGGTCTTTGCAGGCTCTGTGTGTGCTGGGTATGCACCTAGGGTATGCGTGTTGTCTGTGGGTGTGCACCTGGCTGTGCTTTATTGCACCAGGAAGATATGCACTTGGGTGTGTGTTGCTGTGAGTGTGTCTAGATGTATTCCTACATGTATGGGTGTGTGTCCATGTGTGCACCTGGCTGTGTTGTGTTGCACCAAGAGGATAGGCACCTGGACGTGTTAGTGTGAATGTGTCTGGATGCGCACCTAGTGTGTGAGCAAGCAGCTACTATGTGTTGGAGTGGACTCATGCTGGACTCAAGGGAAGTCATGCTGGGGTTCACAGCCCTGAGGCCTCTCAGATAGTCACTCTAAGCACTCATTAGCTGGAGAGGTGTTGCCTTCATGGCCAGTGGACAGCTCAGTCCTGAGCATTCTAGCAGTGCTATGAGTGAGTTTCCTGGCTACTCAGGCATCTGCCCTTAGGACTGCTGCTGGGACTGCAGACTGCTGGGCCCCTGGGTGGTCTGACTCGAGACCCGGCCAACCACGGCATGCGAGTCTCTGCTGTGAGATTCCTGGGCAGCAGGGCCATGAGCAACACCAGTGACACCACAGTGGCTGAGTTTGTGCTGCTGGGATTCCCAGAGCTGTGCCATCTACAAGGGCTGCTGCTCAGCTGCTTCCTCATCATTTACCTGGTGACTGTCCTACAGAACCTGGTGGTTGTGGGCACCGTGCATGCCAGCCGGCAACTGCACACGCCCATGTACTTCTTCTTGGCCAACCTCTCAGTGCTGGAGACTCTCTACACCTCAGTCACCATCCCCAAGCTGCTGGCTATCCTGGCTGAGGCCAGGACCATCTCCTTCTCAGGTTGCCTCACGCAGCTCTTCCTCTTCCTCTCCCTTGGCTCTGCGGAGTGCTTTCTCCTGGCTACCATGGCCTGTGACCGCTACTTGGCCATCTGCCATCCACTGCGTTACCAAGCCATCATGGACCTGCAGCTCTGCCTGGCCCTGGCCCTCACTGCCTGGCTTGGTGGCTTTCTGGCCTCCTTCCCATCCGTGGTGCTCATTGCCCGCCTCAGGTTCTGCGGTCCCAATGTCCTCAACCACTTCTGTGACATCTCGCCTCTGCTGCAGCTCGCCTGCTCTGACATCACCACCCTTGAAACACTGGACTTCGTGGCGGCCCTAGCAGTGCTCGCAAGCTCCCTGCTGGTAACCGCCTTCTCCTATGCCCGCATCCTGGCTGCTGTGCTGAGAGTGCCGGGAGGTACTGGTCGGCAAAAGGCGTTCTCCACTTGTGCCTCACACCTGGTGGTGGTGGCAATCTTCTACACCACCACCATCTTCATGTATGCCCGGCCTCGTGCTGTCAGCTCCTTCGACTTCAACAAGCTGGTGTCTGTAGTTTATTCTGCTGTGACACCCCTGCTTAACCCCCTCATCTACTGCCTACGGAACCGTGACATCAGGGAGGCCCTGGCCAAACTGCTCAGGGCCCCCAGCTCCTCCTGAGCACATAGCTGTGGGAGAAAGACCCCCAAGCCCTCCTGTCCATACACCTCATGCTGTCAACCACAGAGATGGTCAGCAAATTCTTCTAGAATCAGAACTACAAGAGTGCAAGTACCATGAGCAAGTGCCATGGAGACAGGATAATCAGAGACCAAGAGACCGAAATTGGACTTTCAGCAGTTCCCGGGTCAGCATCAAGCAGGGCAGAGCTCCTAGCTCCCAGACCTGCCCAGTTCAAGTCAGCACCAAGCAGGCGATAGCTGGTTCTAGCCCTGCCCAGCTCAGGCCAGCACCGAGCAAGTAACAGCTCCTGGCTCCAGACCTGCCCAGCTCAGGTGAGCACCGAGCAGGGGACAGCCCCTGGCTCCAGACCTGCCCAGCTAGGTCAGCACCAAGTAGGGGACAGCTCCTGGCTCCAGACCTGCCCAGCTCAGGTGAGCACCAAGAGGGGACAGCTCCTGGCTCCCAAACCTGCCCAGCTCAGGTCAGCACCGAGCAAGGGACAGCCCCTGGCTCCAGACCTGCCCAGCTAGGTCAGCACCAAGTAGGGGACAGCTCCTGGCTCCAGCTCTGCCCAGCTCAGGTCAGCACAGAGCAGGAGACTGCTCCTGGCTCCAGACTAGCCTCACCCAGGCAGCCAGACTGGAGCTCAGAGGAAGGCTACTGTTCATAGTAACTCCCTCTACACAAGACCAGATAGAGGCCCTGCAGGCCCAGGCAGCATCTGATACGAGTGCCACTCCTTCCAGAACCTGAAATATCCAAGGAACAGATGACATTTCTGTGCCTCATGCTGAGCTCAGGAATCCAAGCACTGCCCTTCTTGTTAACTCTTGTTGATCAGCATGAGTTTGGCTCTCCCATGATTTCTGAGTTTTTCCAAACTCAAAGCCCCCTAGTGTGACGGGTTTGGATATGTGTCCTTGACAGATGCAGTATGCGACAATGCTAAAGTGATGTGAAAGGCAAATGTCTTTTTACTACCTCACCTTATACATTTTGAGACTATGCTATTGAGGACATCAAGCTTAGGATAATCTTATTGTCTTGGTAAATTTAAACTCATGATTAACAAGTATTTTCTTGGGCCCAGCACAGTAGCCAAGCAAGCAGCTAAGTTCCTTGCTTTGCACAAGCCAAGATCCCATATGGATGACGGTTTTAGTCTCAGCGGCCCCATTTCCCATCAAGCTCCCTATTTGTGGCCTGGGAAAGCAGTTGAGGATAACCAAAACCTTTGGAACCCTGCACCCACATTGGAAACCTGGAAGAGGCTCCGGCCTCCTGGCTTCGGATCGGCACAGCTCAGGCCATTGTGGCCACCTGGGGAGTGAATCATTGAATTGAAGATCTTCCTCTCTGTATATCTGACTTTTCAATAAAAATAAATCTTGTTAAAGTGTTTTCTTGTCTCACATGGCATGTTCTTCCTTCACATCTGTGGTCCACTTTGAGGCCATGTCAGCTTCCTTCCAGCTTCTGTTCCCACTCGGTTCTTGTCATGCACCTTCTGATAGGAGGTTTGTGGTGCTGCAGCAGCAGCCCAGGACACTGTCCCTCTCTGTGCAGGGACCTGTCAGCCTAGAGTCTCGCCTTTTGTGGACGACTTGGAAGCTTTGGGTCTTCACAGTCAAGCTTAGGAAGTCTTGGCTGCTCCCCCTCAGCAGTGCCAGGACCCCTAGATACACACCAGCCTCTTCCTCCTCCCATCTCCCCTTTTTGGCACACTTCACACTCACTGTCCCCTGCTTCCCAGCCCCCAGCCCTCAGCGCCTTTTTCTGCCTTTTCTTTGTAATCATCTTGTTATTAACTCTCCATCGAGCCTCATGGCCAATCTGTGCCACATGTGGGTTCTCAAGCCCTCATGGCTCTAGCAATCTGCCAGAGTCACTCGCAGCCTCAGGGAGACTGGTCAGCTGGCTCTGGTCAGGGATGCAGATGGACCCAGGAGATGGCCCAACACCACACCCTCCACAAGGTGCACAGGGGCCTTGTTCTCCCTGGTTCTGTGGGTCATCAGTGACCAATTCCAGCTCCAGCCTCTGTCACCTGCTGGAGTGGGCTGAGCTAGAAGTCCCAACCCTACAATGCTGCTGTGGTCCTTGCTGGCACCAGCCATTTGCGAACCTGGCTGCCAGTCCTCTCATTTGCAGAGACGCAAAGGGCTTCATGGGTGCCCTATCAGCACCAAGTACCTGTTTCCCAGGGTCACAGCACCCCATTGTGGCTAAAGGAAGTCATTGACTCATTACCGATACTACCCAGCAAAAGTGCAGGTGGTTAGCTGCACCTGCAACTGCAGGTTTGCACCACCCGGTGCCTGCCTCCCATGTCAGATTCCCGGAGGTTCCACTTTCAGCTGGGCTCCTTAATGCAACTGGAAAGACAGCAAAGGATGGCCCAAGTGCTGGGGCCCCTGCACTCCTGTGAGAGACCCACATGCAGTTCTGGGCTCCTGGCTCCAAACTGACCCAGCCATGACTGTTACGGCCATTTAGGAAGTGAAACTCAGGATGGGAGATCTCTGCCTCCCCCTGACACATTGCCTTTCAAACAAATAAGTGGAAAGAAAAAAAAAAAGATGGAACTGGCACCACAGCATAATAGATTAAGCTGGCTGCAGTGCTGAACCCCACATGGGTGCTGATTCATGTCCCAGCTACTCCACTTCTGCCCTCTCTGCCATTGCAAGGAAAAATAGTGGAAGATTGTTGTGGGCTAAGGCGTTGATTAGCACTCGTTAAGCTGAGCACTACAGGAAATGGGCTTGTGGCTAAAAGCACCTGGTCTAATGGGACTCATTGGCATCCTATCGTTTGGTTAAAGGGCTTGGGGGAAAGAGTATATAAGGAGTAATACAGGGAGGTTTCAGGGAGACTTCCACCATCACTGGTCTCCTGTGGTGCCTCATCCCCAGACCCTCTCCATGTCCATGTTACTGGCTCTGTTGGCCGGAGCAGAAGATGGCCCAAAGCCTTGGGATCCTGTATCCACCAGGACCCTGGAGCAAGCTCCTGCCTTCTGGCTTTGGACCAAGCCAGTTCTGGCCATTGTGGCCATTTGGGGAGTAAAGTAGCAGATGGAAGATCTTTCCTTGTCTCTCTTCTCTGTAACTCTGCCTTTCAACTAAGAATAAATACAACTTTAAAAAAGGAAGAGGGAGAGAAGAGAAGAGAAGAGAAGAGAAGAGAAGAGAAGAGAAGAGAAGAGAAGAGAAGAGAAGAGAAGAGAAGAGAAGGTGCCTTTAAAGATTGTGTTCAGTTCTTTAATGGAATTCCACCGTGCCTGTGGCCTCCTGGGAAGAGGAGCCCACCCTGCCTCACCTCTGTATTTGTGCCCTGTGGTGACTCTGTGCTCTGCACTCAGGCCATGTGAAGCTGGAAGTCAGCTGGTGGCTGCCACAGGGCACATGTGCTGTGCTGTTCTCTGCTGCCTCCTGTTTGGGCAGAAATGACACCACTGGACTACAGGGGCAGAGCTTGGTAGGGCCTAGACATCCATCCTCCACCCCCAAGCTGCTAACTGTCCAAAACAGCCAGGTGGAAATGAAGGGAGATGCAGGGCAGCATGGTGGTACTGTGGGAGAGAAGGCCACATCTTGCAACACCGGCATCCCATGTGAGTACTGATTCCATCCCTGGCTGCTCCACTTCTAATTCGGGTCCCTGCTAATGTGCCTGAGAAGGCAGCAGAAGACGACCCAAGTGCTTGGTTTCTGCATCCACGCGGGCGACCCAGATGGAGCTCCAGGCTGGCCTGGCCCAGCCAAGCTGTTGCAGCCATTCAGAGAGTGAACCAGCAGATGGTAGATCTCTCCTCTCTCTCTCTTTCTCTCTCTCTCTCTCACTATTCATTTCAAGTAAATAAATATTTTTAAGAGGGGGCACACAAAGCATCTTGCTCTGTGGTTCTGGCAGATCGCTGCCAGCCTCTCCCAGCTGAGCATGAGGCCACTGGGACATGGCTTTCTGTCTCTAGTACGCTTCTATGGCAGTTTCTTTGTGTCTCCCCAGAAACAAGCAGTGGTTCTCCATCTTCCTCCTGGGAAAATCATGTTCTCCCTGCCCACTGCAGGTCTGGGGGACTTCACAGGGATGACATACCGAAGTGTGGGGGACACAGAGATCTGTTGAAGTGCCACGGCCATAAGCACTCTTGTCCACATCCACATCCACACAAAGGACAATCCCGACACCTTCCTCAGCCACCCGGATGTCCTGCAGCTCACCTGTCCTCTACACAGTCCAGGTGCCCAGGGAGTCTCCTCCTTGACTTCATGCATGCCCTCTCTCCTTGACTTCATGGCTTCACCCTTCTTTTTTCCGTTTATTTAGCAACGATCCCTCCATTAATTTCCAGGCACCGTTTTAGTTTCTCTTCTTATGATTTTGATTTGTTTACTGTTTTAGAAAGGTAGACACAAACTAAGACCTCCAACCCACTGGCTCACTTCCCTGTGTTGCAACAATCAGAACTGGGCTGGTGCAGAAGCCAGGAGCCAGAAGTCCACTGGGTCTCCCAGCAGGTGCAGGGGCCTGAGCGCAGGGCCTTCCTGCACTGCCTCCCAAGGTATGAACAAAGCCGGGCTTGAGTAGAGCCAGCTGGGCAATGAAGCCAGGTGTGAGCAGAGCTGGGTGGGCAGTAGAGCTGGGTGTGAGTGGACCTGGGTGGGCAGTGAGGACAGGTATGAGTGGATCCAGGTGGGAAGTGGGGCCAGGTGGCTAGTAAAGCTGGATGGGCAGTGGAGCCGGGTGGGCAGCAGAGCTGGGCAGGCAATGGAGCTGGGTGTGAGTGGAACCTGGTGGTCAGTGGAGTCAGGTTGTGCCCCCTGTAAGGTGGACCCCCTCCCCTTGCAGCCCCACTCCAGATTGAAGCTAACAATCTAAACCCTGCATGATGAAGGACCATAAAAACCAGCCAAAAAGCCCCAAATCGCAGACCCAGAGAGGGGGTTGTCCCAAACCCATGGGAGAGAAATGCCAGCCTCACAGAGGTGGCCTCAGTGCTACCTGCAGATGGAGATGGTGGGGGATGCAGGAGACTCGGGGCACTGGTGTGGGGCAATGGGAAGGTGGGGAAGGGTCACCAGGAGGAGGGAGGCCACTGGAGTGCCCGGGATTGGGGACAGGGTGGGGCTGGGAAGATGGCGAGGAAGGGGCGGGAAACGAGGGGCTGCGCCTCCTGCACGCTGGCCTCTCTCCTCCCTCTGCGTCTCCCGTGGCTGCGCGTTCATTCCGCCCGCCCCATCCTAGGGCGGAGGCCTAGCGCAAAGCCCCGGCCACCGGCTCAGCGCTCCGCTTACCGCCTGGCCCCTGGAGCCACCGCGGCGGGTAAGGCCCGGGTTGTGGGATCTGGGCGGGCGGCGGGGAGTGGGGGCACGTGCAATCCGCATGGAGAGACGCAGTGGCCGTGTGGATCGCCGCGTCCTGAGCCCGACCAAACCACGGAGAGAGGAGTGTGGGGCGGGAAGAAGAGACCACCCCAGGGGCTGGCCTACACTGCAAGGAACCCACGGTGTTCCCAGCCAGGGCCTCTGCGCACCAGTGTGGCCTGAACTCAGCTCTGGCCCCGCGCCCAACGCGCGCCGCCCTGGCGTCTGCCCACAGGCTCCGAACCAGAGAGCCGGGCACTCGGCCCCTTCTCCAGACAGAGCGCATTCCCCGGACACCGGTGCCGACTACGACTGCCGCCTCTAGAACTCTCGTGTGTGAAGCCCAGGTGCTGGGCCCCTGCCCCGACCCAGCACCCCCTCTCCAGGATTAAAGTCCCGGATTCTGGGGGGTTAAAATCCCCTCCCCCCCCCCCCAGGCCTCCCTCTGGCTGTCCTTACCCTACAAGAGTTCAGGCTCCATGTACCCTAATCTGAGCCCCCTCTCGGCTCCGCTCCATTCCACTGGAGCTGAAGTCCCTGCCTGCTCTCCCCGCAGGTTTCACTGCCCCAGGATGAACTGGACGGCTGCGACCTGCTGGGCCCTGCTACTGGCCGCGGCGTTCCTGTGTGACAGCGGCGCGGCCAAGGGCGGCCGGGGCGGGGCGCGGGGCAGCGCCCGGGGAGGGCTACGCGGGAGTGCGCGCGGGGCCTCGAGGGTGCGCGTGCGGCCAGCGCCGCGATACGGCTCCTCCCTGCGCGTGGCGGCGGCGGGGGCGGCGGCCGGGGCTGCGGCTGGAGCGGCCGCCGGTTTGGCCACGGGCCCTGGCTGGAGGCGCGTGGCGGGGCCCGGGGACCGCGGTCCCTATGATGAGAACACAGCACCCGATGGCAATGGAACCGGCGTCTACAGCTACTGGACCTGGACTTCTGGCACTGGGCCCTCCCACGACTCGCACCTCTGCCTGCTGCTTGGGGTAACCCTTGCCCTGAGGCTGCAGGGGCCCTAGGTTCAGATCCACCCCAGCCCAAGCATCCCGCAGGCCCTTGGGTCCACCAGAGGCCCAGAGCGCTGAGCACCTAATCCCTCCACTCCCCACAGCCTTAAGAGTCCAAAGGACTGGTTGCCCACCCTCTTGCCCAAAACCATCCCAAACCACCTCCTGCACCCACCCTGGGCCAATGGCCTCCCAGATCCAAGATGTTAGGGCCCAGCAAGTGACTAAGGATCTGTCCTGAGCCGATTCCCAGAAGCCCCTGTCCCCTGGACCACCCTGAGCAGAGAGGGTAGACTATGCGCCAGCCACTGGGCAAAGGCTACCTCCCACCAGGCCGGTGTTCCTGAGGCCTGGGGCCCAGCCGGAGCTCAGGAGGAAGTGAGACAGGGAGAGGGCTCCTAGGAGTGGACCCGTCAGAGGCTGCCCAATAACTGGAACTCAGGACTGGTCAGAGGGAACCCACACCCAGGTAAGCCAGTCTGCCCCCCTGTTCTGGTCTCCCCAGCCCAGCCTGCTCTCTGCCAGGCGTGGTTGGGCCCCAGGAGCACCTTCTCTAAGGCCACTTCCCCTGGGCAAACTCGCCTATGTTTGGGCAGCCACTGCCAACCCAAAGAGCCTCCCTGGGCACAGCTCAGGCCTGAGGCTCTGAAGTTTCCAGTGCAGCCCCTTCCTGAGGGCCAAGGACCAGCCACTGGACAAATGGATAGCCACGGTCACCAGCAGGCCCACGGAGGCACGTGCACCTGAGTGGCACAGGCTGAGCTCCCTCCACTGCCAGCAGATGCTGACCATTCAGGGATGCACTGAGCCAGGCCCAACACCCCGCACAGCTTCCCAGACTCTGACAAGGAGGGCCTTCACGTTCAGCTCCTGTCCCTCAGCAGGTCAAGCCACACCCCCAACCTGCATCTCCTCTGGTGCTGAGGCTCCTCCTGGACCAAGGTAAAGGATCCTTTGGAGTCAAATTCGATGGCAACATCTGCCCTGCAGCAACTCGACCACATCCTCGAGTACAGGACACAGAGCTACAGGACACAGCTCCCTGAGGCCCTCGACCAGCCCCCGGGCAGAAGGAGGAAACAGCCAGGTGGGGAGGGGGCTGTTTCTAAGACCCCCTTCTTCACTTAAACCTTCCCAGAAGATAGGCCCCAGCGAGTTCTGTCAGAAGGTTCCAGGTGTATTGGCAACACTGTTCATCAGAGCTGGGTCTGCACCAACCTGAATCTAACTCCTGGCATGAGAGGGCCCCTCGCTTCCCCCCACTGCCAATGACCTCAGAACAGGCTGGAGGTGGCCGCAGGGGACAGCCAAGAAGCAGGCAGCTGCTGGGCAGATGAGGCCAAAGCCCCAGCATCACCTCTTTGGTCGCCCTGAGCCCGTTCTGCCCCCTACCTGGCATGCAGGTGAGTGGGCTCCAGGGATCCCATACTGAAAGGCACAACCCTGTCCACTAGACCAGGGTCCCCATCCTACAAGCCACAAGGTGCTTGCAGGCCTGCAGCCTCTTGCTGCCCATGCTCCTCCCCTCTGCAGAATGCAGAGGGCAGCGGCCCTTGGGTCCACACATCAGAGGCTATCTGCTGTGTACACTTTAATGAACCTTACGTATGAAATAAATGCTATGCTGGCCAAAGAACTGACCGCTGCAGACCCCGTCCCCCCCATCACAACTGTGCAGGGAGCAGCAACCCAGGCATTCACCTTGCTCCCACCAGCCCGCCCCTCAGGAGCAGCACAAGTGGCGACAGTCAACAGGCAGGGCCTCCGGCAGTGTCACAGCTCTGCCTGAGTGGGGGCTTGGCCACACAGGACGTCACGGTCCAGCATCACGGGGCCAAGCAGGCCACTGCGGAAGGTCTGGAGGAAGTGGCGGGCTGCTGCAGGATAGTCAGGCTGGATGACATTCAAATTACCTGGCCACAGAGGAAGGGCAGTGAGCAGGACCCTGGAGGACAGCCTCAGCCCCCACCCAGGAGGGACACAGGAAGGCCAGGTGAGCATGCGACCTCAGCCCCCACCAAGGGCTGCTACTCTCAAGCCACCCACTCACCCCTAACCCTCCCTCCCCACCCAGCACCAGGGGTCCACACCTGTGCCTGTGAGCATCTTCACCTTCCGTGTCTTTCCCAGCTTCACCGCCACGTGCTTTAGCAGCTGCTCAATGTCACAGCAGGCGCTGCCCAGGCCATAATGTTGCACATACCTGCCAGGCCAAGGACCTCACCTGTCACGCCTGTCCCAGCACTCGAGAGGGATGGCCAGGCGAGGGGTGCTGAGGCAGATGCCCCAGCCGAAAGCCCATGCTATCCACACCCAGATGTGCAGCTGCAGGAACCAGCCGCAGGCCAAGACTGTTTCCTAGTAACCTAATTGTTTTTGAACAAAGCCCCCAAATGCCACAGCAATGAAGGGATGCAGGATCCAACCAAAGCTGGACAGGCCTGGGGCCAGCACTGCTAGCTCACCCCAGGAGCTGGTGCACGTTGAGGGTGTGAAGGAGAAAGTCGGCCATGGTCTCCTCCCCGACCAAGTGGTCCAGCAGGGTTCCTGGGGCATAGATGAACGTGAGACACGGCCCCCCTAAAGACTCTAACACTCCCAAGAAAGGCCATGCAGAGGTGGAACCCAGCGCTGTCTTTCTGCCCTCTCAAGTCCCATGCCTGTCTTACCATGCGGTCTCAACCCCTGCCCATCTGTCATTAGGACTCCAGCTGCTCTCACATCCAAGGCCACTGACTCTGAGCAGTGTCCACGTTGAGCAGGGCAGAAAGGGTCACTCTGGCTGGCTGGGTACCTGTGCCAGCATGGGCAGGTGGGGCTCTGCATGGGCCCCCAGACCCAGCTCACCACACAGAGCCAGCTTCAAACCCGTCTCCACACTCGCAATCCGAGGAGCCAGCACCCCAGGGGTATCCAGCAGAAACACCGGTGGCCGCTCACACACCTGTGCAGGGGAGGGAGGGAAGGGCTGGCCAGCAGCAGGGGTGGGCAGTCGGCAGCAGCAGGGGTGGGTGCCCAGGAGCCCACCTGAATTCTGGACGTCACAGCTCTGGTGATTCCTGGCTCACCACCCACCCTGGTGGCCTTCCCTGCAGGGCAGAAAGGGCTGTGGGCATGGCCAGATTCACCAACTCAGAAGCCCTAAGCGGGCATCAGCAAGTTCAGACCCAGGGCTTTGCCAGCAGCAACCCCACACACCAGACTACAACTTCCCAAGTGGACAGAAGCCCCAGAATCCCCCTGGGGCTGGAAGCACCAGCACTGAAAGGCAGGCCCACAGCCCCACCTCCCCCCAGCCCCTCAAACCTCTGTATGGGTCACAGCAGGCCTGGCAGCTGCCTGGGGCAGACCCAGCTCAGAACCCAGCACACTACCTTTCCTGAGGTGCTGCCTCCGAAGGGAGTTGATGAGGGAGGATTTGCCCACATTGGGAATTCCGACCACCATGACACAGTAGTCCAGATTCTGCAAAGTCCACAAAACTCAGTCACTGTCTCCAGCCACACCTACAGGGCCACAAGGCCTCTGCCTGCCCCCAGCCACACCCACAGAGCCACAAGGCCTTGGCCACACTCATAGGGCCACGTCCAGGGGGCCACAAAGCCTCAGTCACTCCGCACCAGGCCGTGGAGCTCGGCCCTTCCCAGTGAAGGAGCCAAGGGCAGAGGCTCATGCCTGCAGCACACATGGGAAGGGCCGAGCCTGAGATCGCACCTACATCCTCCCAGAGCCCCTGGCCCCACACCCACCTCTTCTCGGTGGTAGCGGCAGCTGTTCCTGATCAACTCCGAGACCATCGGGATGATCTGCAGGACAAACACATACGGAGCCATCCCCACTGACCACTTCTTGTCCCTTCAACACAAAGGTCCCATCCTGTCTCCCCCTCACCTCATCAGGTAACAGACACAGTCACCTTCACACACCATGTCTCTCGTGTGAAATACATCCTTGACCTGCATTCCTCAGGCGCACACAGGTGTCCCAATCACAGAGGCCAGCCAAGCCGTAACAGGCCAGGACACACATGTGCTGCTCCTGTTGCCCATAGGGGCCAGTAGGGCCGTGCCCAGGGTAGTCTGGCCCCTTGGCCATCTTCCACCACACATGCAGCCGTGAGCACCCACGGAGCAGTCTATTACCAAGCACCAAGGCTGTGAACGCTCCTATCTAGCAAGGACTCCACAGCCTGGTCCTCAGCTAGAGGAGAGGACCCCTGGAGACCTCACCACCCCCAGGATCCCCGGACACAGCTTCTCGTACAGCCTTGGCAACACTGCGCTCAGCAGCAGAGCCAAGGACTCACCTGCTGGACATTCTGGTCCTTCACACAATTGGTGAACACAACGTGCCTCAGGCCTTCTCCCTCCTCCAACAGCTGTGTAATTTTCTGAAACAGAGGGGAAGCTGCTGGATCACTGTGGATGAGGCAACAAGGCCACAACCGAGGACCTAGGTTGGAAGGGATGCTTGGCAGCAAGGGCTGGACCCACGGGAGGGCAGGAAGAATCGGAGGCCATCAGCACCCACGCGGGAAGCCAGGCTGCAGGATCTCCCTCATCTGACCACCTCTCAGCTAGCTCCACTCCAGCCATGGAATGACCCAGCACAACACAACACAGAAACCCATACAGAAATGGATAGTGGAGTATCTGTGCCCTGTGCTATTACTGGCATGAATGACCACTACAATTCAATCAGGGCTATAGTGTTGTCATCACTAGTACGTGGGAAGCCTAACATGCAGATCATTGTTGTAGCTGTGACATCACTAATATGGATGGCAGTGTTGTAGCTGTGACATCACTAACATGGATAGCAGTGTTGTAGTTATGTCACCGCTAACATGTATAGACAGACATTCAAGTATAAGACTGTATGGTCAATTATTGGCTGGGAAACAAGATTCTTTCATGCACAAAAGTTCATCACTAAGCTTGTTTCTTTCCCCATGAGGATCCAGACTAACACAGAGACCAGCTGTGGGTAGCAGAGCCTGGCCCAAGCCGCTGCTCCATCCACAGCTCAGAAGTCTCAGCCACATTAGTCCCTCCATGCAGCTATGGAGATCAGCATTTAGTGTGCAGCTGGCATCACTTCTAACACAACTGGGCCGGTGACCCGTGTGCACCAAGCCTAATGCCAGCTGCTCCACTTTCCACCCACCTCCAGGACCTGACCTGTGGCTGGCTGTGCTTGGGGCTCTGGGACCTCCACACAGCATGGGACTTAGTAACAAGGAGGGCTTCCACGCCAAGGACCCTGACACCTGCTCTGCCCCCCACAGCAGCTCCAGTGCAGCAGGTGATCCCAGGGCTGGGACCCGTTCAGTGGCTGGAGTCCCAGGCCCAGCTTCCTGTCACCAGCAGCAGGGCCGGGGCCACCCAGCAAGTGTGGACAATGGGACCACCATGGTCACCCATCTCTCACATTACACTCATGCAGATGAACTTAAGGGACATGAACTTGAGAAACTGGAGTCAGTTTCTCAGCAGAGTGGCCCTGTTAGGGGCCACCAGCGGCCACACCATGGACATAGTGCCTATTACATGGCCCCACCAAGGCCAATATCAGACTCTGGCTGGAAAGCCTGATTCCTGTCCATGGTATGAGTCCAAGCTGGATGCCCCACAGGGCAAAGGACCAGCGCAAAGCCTAAAAGACTTTACCTGCCGCTCCGTCAGATCTGCCAAGTCCATCTTGTTGAGGACCAGCAGGTGAGGCTTAAGCCCAAGCGTCTCCTGGAACACGGAATTGTGGCTTGCAAATGGGATGTGTCCAAGTTAAGACAAATGTCCTTCAAAGCATGAGCACCCTGTGCCTCTGTCTGCCAGTCAGAAGCCAAGTGTCAGCGCCCAGGCAGGCTCCAGTGTCAGCCCATCCCCAGTGCCAGTGTGGTGGCCATCACAGTCTCCCAAGCAAGACAAGGGTACAGAGAATGGCTTTGGATCTACCCAGACATAACCAGCCTCAGAGCCACCTGACCCAGGACACCTGCAGCCCCCACCCCCTCACCAGGCAGACAGGGGCTTGTCAGAAGGCCACGCCCAGGGGCCCCTTGTGTCACATCCCAGCGGTGCAGCTGACCACAGGAGAGGGTCGCTGTGCGGTCCCAGCACACCGTACCCGATACTGGCACGTGACAGCACACTTTATCAGGCAGGCACACACTGCCAAGAACACCTCTGCCCAGCACGCCTGGCGAACCCCACCGTCCACCGCTCCCAGGGTGCAGGGATCCCCCAAGGGATGCCTGGGTGACTGAGTTGCCCACTCCTGACCAATTTTCCTGCTGATACACCCCAGGGGGCAGCGGTCCTGGCCACCCACCCCAGGGATCTGGACTGGGCGCCTGGCTTCAGCCTGGCTCAGCAGACAAAATCCAACACACACACACTCAAACGTGTAGCTGGACCCCACACCAGGACTGCGCACAGGGCCCCAACGTGCTTCACCGCCAACAGCCCAGGCTGACCGCAGACCCCGAGAGGATATCCGAGCATCGCGGACCTCGACAATGCAGTCCACCTGCTTCAGGCTGCTCTGCATCTTCTTCAAGCCTGGAAGACACAAGGCCGGCCGAGAACTAGACAAGGCGGGAGCAGCTGAGAGAGGCCAGGCGGTGCCCACTCCCCGGCGGGGGCGGGGCCAGGCTGTGCCCACTCCCGGGCGGGGGCGGGGCCAGGCCATGCCCACTCCCCGGCGGGGGCGGGGCCAGGCCGTGCCCACTCCTGGCCGGGGGCGGGGCCTGGCCGTGCCCACTCCTGGCCGGGGGCGGGGCCAGGCCGTGCCCACTCCCCGGTTCGGGAAGCTGCAGCCGGCGACTCACGAGCAGGTCGGGCAGCCCATGGACACGGCGCCGCTCCGTCCTCCCGCAGGGTCGAAGGCTGGGGTGGAAGCACAGCGCAGCCGAAACCTCACCCTTGGCCATGTGGCCGGGGAACCAGCGCGCCACGTCCTGGCCGCGCGGGGCAGCGCCCTCCCGCCATGCGGCCCGGACGGCGGTCAGCGCGCACGAAGTCCACCTCATGACGCCGGTCCGGACGCGCCCCTACCGGAAGCTACGGGCTCTGCGGCGAAATGCGCGCATGCGCACGCCAGTTCTTCCGGCGTGGGCGGGGCCGCGACACTGCGCAGGCGCCGTCCGCCGACGTGCGCTCTGGGAAATGTGGCTAAACCCTTGACTTTGGGCTTTTTCAGACGTTTATAAAGATGGTGTAACGTCTGGCGCTCAGTGGACGCCCACAGCGCGCACGGAGGGCCCTGGGGACGGCGGCAAGGACGACGCGGAACACGACGGTCATTTCAGCTGCTTTATGTGCGGGCGGCGGGGCTAGAGCCGGGGCCAGGGGCGCGGCGCCTGCGGCTCCCACAGCCCCGCCAGGCGCTCGGCCTCGCGCCAGCCGGACAGCAGGGCTCCGTGCGTGGTCGAGTAGAACGTGCGGTGCGTGGCCTCTCCCGCAAACAGGAGCTGCAGCTGTGGAGGAAGGCAGGGTCACACAGCCGCCTCTCGGGGAGAGCAGCAGGCTGCCCACGGGGGACCCCCGAGGGGGTCGGCCCTGCATCTGCAGCTCTGACGTGCTCACACGTTTCCAAGTTAAGGGCGAATGAACCAATGTTCAAAAGGCGGCAGCTCCCAGGCCCCGGAACCCCGGCCCATCTCCTACCTGGGGCTTGGGGCCCTCCGCGGGCAGCGGCTGGGCCAGCAGGTCGATGTCCCGGCCAGTGCTGCCCACAGCCACGTAGCTGTAGGAGCCGCGGCTGTAGGGGGCACTGTGCCAGCGCGACCGCAGCACACTCCTGGGTGCGGGCAGCTGCGGGTTCCCTGCAGCGCAGAGAGACCAGGTCGGCCTGCAGCCACCCACAGTGGGGTGGAACAGGAAAGCCTGGACCCTGTGGGCCCTGTGGTTCCCACACTGACTTCGGCGTGGGAGGGTGCTCCAAGAACAAGTTCCTGGCACCCTAACCTGCTGCCTGTAGCCCGCCCTCCTCCCAGCACCCCCTGCCCCCAGCAGCAGGCCGCAGCTCCCACATCAGTAGCCAAGACTGAAGGTCAGGGGGCCTGGTGTGATGGACACTCCCTGCCCCGAGCCTGACTAGGCCTGGACCCCACGGGCAGAGCCAACACCCACACTGGTGCCCTGCCCTTCACACACCTGTCACCTTGCGGAGCACACTGGTCAGGGACAAGAGCACTTCATCATCTGACAGTGTCTCCATGAACTCCGACTCAAGCCCCGCAATGAACCCACACAGGACGTGGGCAGACCTGCATGGACAGAAGGCTGAGATCTGAGCGTCAGCCAGGCAGCACTCACATCCTAAAGACCCCAGTGTTGATCCAGTGCTCTCAGACCCAGCAGGGACCCCAGCACAGGCTCTAAACTGTCAGGACATACTGGTGCCACTGCCTGCCCTGGCATGTGCCACCCAGCCCCGGAAGCAGGAGCTCTGTCCGGTCCTCCCTGAGCAGAGTCCAGGTAGTGAGACAAGCTGCCTGCAGGGAGCAGCCTTTCACTGCATAGTGCTTCCACAGAATTTTAGGTTGCAAAGTTGCAAATGGCCCCCAAGCCTTGGATCACTGTCAAAATTATGGGTGTTGAAGGACCCCCCCAAAAGAAAAACCCAGACCGCCAAATGCTCAAAGGACCCCAAATCTCATGTTCTCTGCAGACTGAGAATTACGCAGGAAGCAAACTTCCTATTGAGATTGCTGGCTGCATTGCTAGCTAAATGTAATTGGAGGGGTGTGAGGCGTCTTCATCTTCCTTTTTTTAGTGATTGTGGCCTGAACATATGAATACAAAGTTCTGTTAGATTCCTTTTCTAGTTGGATCTGTTTGTTCAACGTTACTGGTTCCTGTAACTCATGTTCACTTATCCCGTTGCCCAAGACCTGTTGATTGTTCTCCAAATCCCTTGTGATCTATTGTTAGAGTAGCTCATGTGCTATTGTTAACTAGTAACTTTCATCTGCCTGTTTGCCCTGCAAAAATCATGGTACAAGTTGCCTAGTATAACTCAATAAAGTGTGCACTGGTTCATCCCCTGTGTCTCAAATTCTTCTCGGTGGGGTCGTCCAGGTCCCCACTAGAGGGACCCCCAAGATGTGAGCATTTTAGAAAACACAACCTGGCCCTGAACAGTATCAGCAGTGACCAACAGGAACACCAGTCCGTGACCATCATCTGTCTGAGACTGCACGGCGGGAAGCTAAGTGACCGTATCACAAGCGGGCAAATGGCTCAGTGTAGCAGCACACGCACAGACCCAGGTGGCCAAGGACCCCCCTTCCTTGGAGGCATCCAGAGGGTCCTGGGACCACAGATACCAAGAGCCACTGCCCAAGCCATGGCCAGCACCCCACAGTGACACCCAGGGCTTCCCACGTCCTAAGCAATACAGCACATCCTGCACTGCCAAACCTGGGACAGGCGGCCAGCCCTGCTGCCCCTCCCCACCACAGGCCACTCCCTCTCTCTGCAGTCACATCACCTGCCTCCTGCCCACCTGAGCCTACAAGTCATGAGCTGAGTGGGCATGGCAGGTGGGGACCCCTCCTTTCCCTCTCAGAATTCTGTCCCTCCTTCTTAGTGATGGACAGCCCGGGCAGGGCACCCCCACTGGGTCCCCAGAGGAGACCCCTGCCCACATGGATTCTATCTGTGCCTATAGCCAGCATCTCACAGGCTCCTGAGACCCCCACCCAGTCAAAACCATGCAGCCACCCCAGATGGCAGGACACAACGTACCCGCAGGGAGGCAGCACGATAAAACCAATGAGCTTCCTGACCCAGGTGTCGGGCTGAACGGGGCGGGCGTCTTGCAGGGGTGAGCTGTCCTCCCACACCAGCTGGATGTACTGACAGCCTGGCTCCCAGAATGGCTCCTCAAACTCCAGGAAGATCTTGTTGTTGGTCCCAAATCCCAGTTTCTGAATGGCCTCTACCTTCTCAGCAGGCAGTGGTGGCTCGAAGAAGCTGTCCATCTGCTCCTTTAGGAAACCTGGAATTCCAGCCGGGATCTGCTCAGCTGCCACCATGCCAGCAGCTCCAGCAAGGTCAGGGATATGGGCCAGCCACACCACAGGAAACCCAGAGTGAACAAGGTCACATGGGCCTGCCATGGCCTGGAAGATCCAGAGGTAATGGGCAGTGAGGCCTACCCAGGGGCACGGTGATGATGACATGGTGGGCAGGCAAGCGGTCCCCATCCTCGCACTCCACCAGGACAGGGAAGGTCTCGCCAGGAAACGCCGCTGCCTCAAAGGCCCCGTTCCAGTGCACAGTCTTCACAGGCTTGTTGAAGACCAGCGTGTCCTTGGGCAGGGAGGCCGCCAGGTGATCCGTGAGTCCTTGGTAGCCCCTAGGAGACGCCAGGCCCACCTTTCCCAGCCCCCGAAAGGTGAGACAGGGAGGCCCAAGGGCTGGGGTGCAGGGAGTAGGTTTGGGGGGCTTAGAGGAAAACACAGCTTCCCAGGTGAGAGTCAGGGTTAAAATCAGTGCCAGGGTTCAGGGCCCACACTAGCACCAGGACTCCTAAGAACGGGGAGCCCTCAGCCAGTGCAATGAGGAGGAAGTGGGCACAGTTCTGTTGCTTTTCCTGTCTCATTCGAATTAAAACAACTTTCCAAGTAGCCAAATGGGGGTGGTTTAGACCCTGTCCACCCCCTCCACTTCCAGCACCCATGGGGGGACCCAAACACCACACTGGGGAGAAGAGGGGAGTGCAGGGGCGGGGCACTTACCCCGAAAAGGTGCAGTCCAGGCCAGGCAGCACTGTGTACTCCCCAAAGGGCGCAAGGGCCACCAAGTCCATGCTGTGGGTGCCACTCACACAGCACTCCAGGTTGAAGAAGGTGTTCAGGATGGCCAGCTTCAGCTGCCGGCTGCCCTCATCCTCTGTCCAGCCGGCTGCCAACTGGCCAATCTCCTGCTTGAGGAACTCGCCAACGCTGGCCACGGGGGGCCTGGCTGAGTGCAGGAACTCCCGCGTCTGGTCCACGAGGCCATAAAAAAGGCTGGCCATCTCTGCTACCAGCTCCAAGCTCACGCTGGTCCCTGAGTCGGTGTAGCACACGGAGGGCAGTCCCACGTGGCCCCCTGTCTCCAGCAGCTGGTTCTCTTCCGACAGCTCCTTCTCCCCCAGGAGCCCATACTTGGCAGCCAGCTGGAAGACAGGGTTGCCCTGCGAGGGGCCATGGATCCAGTGTGCGCCCACTTCCACCACACCACCTGGGAGGGAACAAAAGATATCACCTGGAGAGCCCTCCTTCCTCAGGCTGCCAGAAGCAGTGCAGAGGACTGTTCTCTGGGTATCCCTGGTTTGTAAGGTGCCTGAAGATCCCAGGTTGAGGGGCTGGAGCCACTGTGTAGGACTAGGCAGGTGTACCCCACTCCCTGTGAGCAGCAGTTTCTGCGAATCACGAGGGCAAGACGGCGCATTCACTCCAGGAACAGGGAAATCTGGCCGGTGAGGCCTGGGCACAGGCTAGGGGTTCGGGCCGGGCCGTTTGGGTTCGGAATGGGTTGGGGGGAGGGAGGACTCAGGAAGACGGTTACCGAAGCTGCGCTCGGAGCGGATGCGGCCCCCGGCCCGGGCCGTAGCCTCCAGGACCCGAAGATGCGGGGTGGCGGGGTGGCGGCAGAGCCTCTGGGCCGCGCCCAGCCCCGCGATGCCAGCGCCCACCACCAGCACTCGCGGCCCGCGCGGGCCCTCCGTGCTGCCGCCCCTCGAGTCCATGTCGCCGCCGCTCCTAGGCCCGGGGTCCACGGAGGAGGCCGCAGGCGGGCCGAGGCTGGGCCGGGGCGGGGAGAGACGGAGCCGGAGGCGGCCGCGGCGCGCGGTGGACCGGCGCCGAGGGGCAGGGCCGGGGGAGGGCGCGCCACGAAGACTGACGCGGGTCGCGCTCGCTTGCCGCGCGCTGCACCTGCCGAGGGCTGGTCCCTAGGAGCGGCCCCCAGGGGGTCGTGGAAGCCGGGACCCAGTTGGCGCAGGTGGGCAGGGAGGCCTTCCGACCAGCAGTCCCCGCCCGAGCCCCACCTCCTGGGCTGTAGGAGGGGTCACTGCTGCAGAGACTGGGAAGAGACTGAGTTCGAGGAGGATCTTGCCCAGAATCCCGAGGGCCGGGCTCCGGACTGTAGCGGCATTCTCTGCACTGCGCCGCGGCCCATGGGACTGGGAAGCGCCCGGGCTA